AAAAAAAATTAAAAAAATAAAAAATAAAAAAAATGGGATGTCACTCTGCTTCTAGGCTTAAGTGATCCTCCTGCCTCAGCCTCCTAAGTAGCTGGGACTGCAGGCAAATATTGCTGGACCCAGCCAAAAGGTCTCTTTGACCAACCACTAGCATACACAACAAGGCACGCAAATTCAAACCAGGTACCCAAATTGTACCTATTTAATTGGCAAGGATTTTTACCACTACTCTTTCAGTGCTGGTGCCAGGTATTGGCAAGGGTAGAAAAAAACAAACTTTCTTGGAGGGAATTTGGTAAAATATATATTAACAATTAGAAGGGGGTTCTCCTTTGTGCTAGATAATTATATGAACTGTGTTCTTATTTTCTCTCTTCTGATGTTTTCATATTAAAGTGCTTGTTGACCAAGAATTGGCTAAGTCCTAAAGATAGGCAACCTCTCACCCCTGAACCTTTCCTTTTCTGTACAAACTAACCAATCCAGGGACTTAATCCTTTTATTAGGCTCTCATCCTCTGGACCACTGCCTGCTTTAATCATTACAGGGGTAGATACTGGATGGAATAGCCCATATGTCTCAGAGCCCATTGGAGTTATTCAGATCAATGAATCCTAAGGCTACATCCCATCTCACCTCTCCCCTTCCTTGCAATAGAGCCTCTGATTGACAGCCCCGACACCTGCCATATGACCCCAGTGCTTTCCCGTGTGGCTCCCTCCCTACATGCACAGAGTGCACCTTGACTCGGGAACATGAATAATGAACTCTCTGTTCAACAGCATTCATCTCCTGAGCTAATGGCCTTGGCCTTGTTATGCCTAAATAATAATTAAACCCATATTTCAAAACAGCGTGGAGAGGAATAATTCTGAGTAAGTCCAGTGACATGTCAGCTGGCCACCTGAGTGAGATTGACCATAGGAAATAATCTGAACTGTTCTCAGTGAGCAGCCACAGTAAGTGATGAGTGGATGTGTTGAGTATTCACACTCTGGGTTGCAATGCTCAATTTTTCTTTACAAAAATATAAAGAAACATTGTTTTGAAATATTTMAGAAACCCATTCATCATTTCCTATGAAAGAAAGGGGATTGGTAGATTTCTAACCCTCTAAAAATTCAGTAAAGTACAAACCCGTCTGGACAAACACATGAGGAGACCATGACAACATTTTGGAAGGTGGAAGGTCGACAGAGCAACAAGGACTGCTTTTAGAGAAGATAATGCAAAAGTCATTGAGCAGGAAGAAGGGAGACCCCGAGTAAATACAAGTGTAGAATGGAGATGGCAAAGGACTCTCTGGATTTTGAGGTCATAGGGACCCTCTTAATGGGTTCACAAGCAGCCCCCACTGACAGGGATGAGAAGTACAGCTCTCCCCTGTGAGATCCATAGCCCAGGCAAAGCTTCCCACAGGCCCTCTGCACCTCCAATCCTAGAACAGGTTCTTGAAACTCTAGCCTCCTAATTATATTCAAGCATCCAAAGGTCCTCGGGAGGGGTCAGCATAATGTGGTTTCTATCCAGAGATCTGAGTTTCAAAATGAAGAAGTCTCCTGAAGTTCAAGGACATGGCTGCAGTAACCATGACTCTTGATGAAGTCCGTGCCTGGTCACCTAATAGTGATCATGATGATGGACAAGGGTGTCCTGGTTCTTAAATTGCCAACCAACCATCTGTGATTCTCTTTTCCCATTGAGTGACCTATTTAGGGGCATGCATTTCTGTAAATCAATTGTTTGATGTAACAAAACTAACCAAGGAGACCTAGAGTCATCAGAAAGGATCAGTGGGCAGCAGTTATTCTAAGAGTACCAAGAATTGATAACCRTACAGAATGATTCTTACTTTGCTGGTAGAGAGCACACTGGTGCAACCCCTCTAGGATAATTTTTGGGGTCTCTGCTAGAGTTAATGTATGGGACACCTGTGATCCAGCAAGGCCACTCTTAGGTGTATATCCAAGGGAAATATATCTATGTTCTCGTTAGAAAACAGGCTCTAGAATAATTATGGCAATGATATGTAATAACCTCTAACTACAGACTATCTTTAACAGGCTGAATTGTGTATTCTTTTAAAATTCCTGTGTTGGAAACTCCAACGTGAGTAAATTTGAAGATAGAGCACTTATGGAGGTACTTAAGATTAAATGAGTCATAAGAATGTGTCCTAGTCAAGTGGAATTGATGTCCCTATGAAGAGAAATGGTATCAGAGGGCCAGCATTAGAGCCACATTTAAGGATGTTGGACTTGCTAGCAGTATATAAATGATGCATGAAATATCACATATTATGATGGTATTTTTTTAAATGAATTGAGTTCCATTTCCTAGTTATTTATTTTACTCAAATCCAATGAAGACATTACCCTGCTCCAGCAGTGGAGGCCATGGAATTTCCAGATTGCCTGTGTGTGTCTTGTCCCTAGGGCCATGGAACAGCCCTTGAGCAGTCACTGATGACAGTGGGTATCTGCGTACCCACCTTCCTCTCTTCTCTGCAGTGTCTCTGATGTTGTTTTCTACCATCTCTTGGGGGTCCCCGTGGACTGAGCTCATTCTTCTTCTTGGAGCCTGCATACCCCTCCTGCACCCATCGACTCCTACCTTTCCTTCCTCTCCCTCAACCCTTCCTCAGTGCTTCCTGAAATCACCTCCCAGAACCATGACACTCAAATCTTTGTCTCAGGGTCTACTCTTGAGCAGAGGCCCAATAGGCAGGGCCTCTGTGACACTGCTACTAGGTGTGTCCACATTGAGGGTTGTCACCTATTTATGATGAATTGACTGCTTTGCTTTTTCTTTATTTTCCTTTTGATATTTGTTTATGTGATGTTAACATAGCCTCCCAACTTTCCTCTTGATTTGTTTTGTTTTGGGGGGTTGATGCTGGGGATTGAAACTTTCCTTTTGAGTATCTGTGTGGTATATCTTTTCTCTTTCACTCTCAATCTGCCTGTGTCCTCACATTTACATGTATTTCCACCAAAGTTTGTTTTGGAATTTAAGACTAGTGATTCCATCCATCCCCCAAGAAAGTGTGAGTTTTGTCACATGCATTGGTGAGTCTTTGAGGGCTGGGGCAGGCTTCTCCAGCTGATCCAACATGGCTTCAGAGAGTAAGGAAAGGACGCTGGCTCCAGGGTTACGTGGTTAGGGTTGAGGGATGTGATGGACTATATGAAGCCTCGATTTTTGCAGCTATTCAATCACCAAGCTGCCGAGGCAACTTCCTGTAACAGCACCTCTCTCCTTATGCTTCTCTCTGAGAGGAAGGACTCAGACATTGCTTTGGCCTCCAAAAGAACATTTATTCTCCAAATCAAAGCCACAGGTACAAACATCCCTGCTCCCTGGCCTCTGCCCACTTCTACTGCACATTCTCCAGCCACCGCCACCGAAGCTGCCTCTTTGGACGACTTTGCTGGAAGGCACTGCTTGGTGGCTCCAGTCTCTGGAGACCGGCTCGGCCTCCCATTCACAGCTCCACATGTTCTCTCTTGGGAGGTCTCCTCGATGCCTCCTTGGCCTTGAGCTCAGTCCAGAAAACCACTTCCTTGTCTTTCAGCCCCGTGGCTACTTGAGTGTTGGCGCCAATCTGCAGATACTCTTCCTTTTGGTTGTACTCTGGCCAGTGGGGCAGACCCTTCCCATTGGGGTTCCTGGGGAACAGAATCAAATACAAATTTCCCAGAGCTGCTATTGGTCACCACATCTCTCTGAGATTTACAGGAATCCTTGGCTTATGGCTTCCAAAAGACACAAACACATCCATTTCCTGGGGCAGGCTGTAGGTGAATTGTCAGAGTGCTCCGGTGACAGGATCTGGGATTTGATCTCTATCCATGAAGTATGCCCCACTGCACCCAATCCCACAAATCCCACTCCCTCTTGGCCACCAGCCTTACCCATGGCGAGCAAAGTTGGCCCAGAATTTCATCATCATCTTGCTGAGGTTGATCTCCTCTTCTGAGGCGCCCTCTATGGGGAAGAAGGAAAAAAATCCTTTGCTACTCAAAGTGTGCTAGCAGCAGCAGCAGCAGCAGCACCTGGGATCTTGTAGGAAATGCAGACTCTTGGTCCTGACTCCCAGCCTACTGAGTGAGAAGACCCTGTCACCTGGTGTGCACTTTCAGTTTGAGAATGACTGGTGCAGGACTCAGCAATGTGCTGAGTTGCCTCTGTCTTCCCTGCCCATCTGCCTACCCCTTCCCATTTAAGGTTGCAATGCTACACCTTGGAGTTTCCTGTATCTTGAAGGATTTTGGTTCTTGGATTTTTCTCTTTTTTCTTTTCTCTCAATCTCCTACACAGTTCTGAAAAATATCAGAATTTCCAAGGTCCTAAGAAATCACCCAACTAGGAAATGTCCAGAGGCACTGATGTGTCATAAACAGTGATGAGAAGGCTCAAAAGTCATGTGCAACTGGTGAGAGTTGATTTATTAAAGACAATTTGTGAAAGGTTTTATTTAAACATGATATTGTGCATTATATTATAGATAAAAATATATGGGTTTTAGACATATCAATAGATGAATACACAGGACACTGGATTTCAGGTGGGCAACAATTCTAACCTCATCCTCACATTTTAATCTGCTCTTCTGGATAGAAATCAAGAAAGACTGTTTTTGCCATTGAGTAGGGTCCTGAAGGTAACCTACAACCTCCCTTATTGCAGCCACAGGCCAGGATTCTGAATGTGACTATGGCTCAGGGCACATGAATACACATCCTCTTTCATGCATGTTAGAGCAGGAGAAAGGCTGGGAACCGCCCCATGTCCCTCAGCCCTGATTATAGTGAGTCAGGAAACGAAGATCAGAAGAGAAGGAGAACCATCTCCAGTCCACCAAACCAAGAGGGGAACCTCCTCCTAACTCCAAGCTCCTTGCCAGCAAAAAGCCCTTACCTTTTAAAAATGGAGCCCCAAATACTGAGAAGAGCTCATCCCCATGGTCTCCTAGCACCGCCTTGGGTCTCTTGTCTGATGCGAAGCTCGGACGATACTGAAACTCATACATGTAGGTGGGGGCTCTGGCATCTGAGAAGACACAGATTTGTGCACAGTTCACACCACCAGACACACAGCTGGACGGTCTCAAGGTCTCTATCTGGGCAGGAAACCCCTGGGTGTCAGCATGGGAGAGGAACAGAGTTTCTGGAAAGCTCTCGACTTAGAGCTATAGAGCTGATAGAGGAGGAGGTGGGATTTCATTTGAATTGAAGGACAGAATGAGTGAATACAAAGCACCCCATAAATACACCGAATGCGTTTCATTGATAACCCATTAGTGCACGTTCATTTCAAGGATATCAACACTATGCGTGTCTTCCATTCAGCCTAGTTTTGATCATTTCCTGTGTTATCTTCACCATTCAGAGAAGAATTAGGCAAATCCAAGCTGCTTGTCTGAAAATGAAGGTACTTAAATACAAGTATGCATGCGGAGATGGAATATTCTCTTGTCCCTTGTGCTTCGGCAAACAAGAAAATTCAGAGATTGATATTTCAGTCACCTCGTCTGTCCTACTTCCTGCTTCAACCCATACAGTGCTAAGGCRTTAAACTGATAAAGGCAATTTTAAAAATTGGAAGGGGCACAGGAGGGTCAGCTTGCCTCTCTTCACCTCTCTGCTCCTGCTCTTCCCTGCCAGGCTATCTCTGCACCAAAGCCATCCCATCCAAGCCCCAAGAAGATGCCACTTTTCCTAGTGACTGATCATCCAACCCACCAATCCCTGCTCCTTCAGGACTTATTCAGGGACCCCCGGCCTGAAAAACCTTAGCAGGAAGCATTGGTCATAATTGCTCACAGAGGGGTGTCTTGAGGAGAGGAAGAATTAGGCCCCAAGTCAGGCTGTTGGAAATGTTTTACAACTCCGTGCCCCCATGGATACAGTAGGAAAATTGAAAAAAGAAATTGCAGAAAAGAAGTAAAAAAAAAAAAGGCAAACAACACTTACAATCCCATCATTCAGACAAAACTTCTTCTATATTTTAACACACATGTCTGATTGTGTAATATTGTATATGCTATTTTGTAATATACCATAACCATTACTTCCTATTATTAAATACTCATCAGTGAATGTACTTAACAATATATGCCATCCCGCAGAAGGATGAGGAATAAGGTACTTAGTCATCCCTCTCAGTCGCCACCACTGCACCCTCAGTTCATCAAGATGCTGCTCAGAAGAAGCCTTCTTCTGCGACTCTGTGATCCACTTACTGAACAACTGCTTCTGGGTCAGAACTTGCTGAAAGGAGGGTTTAACTCTGTCTCTCTGCCCTTCAATCATTTTAGACAGGAACTCAGCACTTAACAAGAGACGAACGAACTTTTGTGAATGAGAGAATTTATCTTCAGCAGCATACTGAGCAAGAAACAACTTAAAGCTTTTTCTCTGAAAACACTGGGATTTATAAAATTCCTATCATCATAATTCAAGTCTACAAAGGAAAATTGGTTTGGGAAATTACAATTAGGACTAACAAGAGAAGCAAAGACAATGGAACAATAGCAAGAGACCAGCCACAGATTTGAATTACAGGGTTCAGAAGGAGAAGGAAGGGGGAAGGCCTCAGAAGGCAATAGCATGTTTCAAGAAATGGCTGAAAACTTCCCAAATCTGGGACAGATGCCAAAACCTAAGTACATAAAGGACAGAGGTCTCCACTCCATTTGAACCCATGCACAAAATGACCAAACAATCCAAAATCAAAGACAAAGGAATTCAGAGAGCACGAAGAGATGAGAAACACATCACACACCCAGGTGTGCCAAAAGAACATTAACACATTTCTTAGAAGAAATTCTGCAGGTCAGGAGAGTAGGATGCTTGATAGACTGATGGGAAAAAAAATACCAACATAGAAATAACAAAGTTGGAATAGATGAGGGGGAAGAGCCACAGACTGAAGGAATATAAAACCTCTTTAGTGAAATAATAGAAGAAAAATTCCCAAAGCTTGGGAAAGACATGGACGTCCAGAAACAGAAGGGTTTTAGAAACCCAAATAAACATGTCAGAAAAGAACTCTCCACAACATATAGTTAAACTGCCGAAAGTAAAGAACAAGGAAAAAAATATTAGCATTTGCAAGAGAGAAGAACCAAGTCATATTTGAAGGCAATCCCATCAGAATAAGAGTAGATTTCTAAGCATAAAGTTTAAAATTCAGCAAAGTAGTAGGATACATAGTCAGCATATCAAATTCAGTAACTTTTCTATGCCAATAATGAACTTGCTGAGAAAGAAATAAGGAAAATAATCCCATTAACCATTGCATAAATAATGCCTAGAATAAACCCAACCAAAGAGGTGAAAAATCTCTATAAAAGACTGAAGAAAATATTGAAGAATACATCAGAAGACAGAAAGACCTCGAATGTTCTGGATTGAGAGGATCAATATCATTTGAACAGCCACATATCAAAAGCAATCTATATATTCAATGCAATCTCTATCAAATTACCAAGGTCATTATTCAGAGAAGGGGAAAAATGAACCTAAAATTTCTATGAAATCACAAATAAACCATAAATAGCCAAAGCAATTCTGAGAAAAAAGAGCAATGTTGGAGGCATCACAATGACTTCAAAATATAATACAGAGACGTAATAACCAAAGATCATGGTATTGGCTTAAAAATAGTCATGTAGACCAATGGACTAGAAGAGAGGACCCAGGAATAAGCTCACACATCTACAGCCATTTGATACTTGACAAAGTTTACATAATCTTACATTGGCAAACAGACAGCTTCTTCAACAAATAGTGCTGGGAAAACTGGGTATCTATATGTAAAAGATTGAAAGTAGATCTATTCTCTTATCCCCCTCCCAAAAATTCAACACAAAATGGATCAAATGCCTAAGTGTAAAACCTGAAACTTTTAAATTACTAGATGATAACAGGGAAATACAAGATCTTGGCACAGGCAATGAATTGCTGAGTAGAACTCCAACAGCTCAGAAAACAAACAAACAAAAAAACAAGAATTGACAAGTGGGGTGACATCAAGTTAAAAAGCTTCTGCACCACAGGAAGGAAATAATCAGCTGAGTAAAGAGATGACTCATAGAATGGAAGAAAATCTTTGCCAACTTTTCATCTGACACAGGACTAATATCTAGAATGTATGAAGAACTTAAATAACAGTGAACAAGTAATCCAATAAAAAATGGGCAAATCATCTGAACAGATGCTTCTCCAAAGAAGTGAAAATGGCCAAGAAGTACATGAAAAAAACAAAACAAAATGCTCCACATCTTTGCCATCATGGAAAGGCAAATCAAACCTACATGGAAATTCTATCTCCTTCCTAGACAGATTGTGTATAACAACAACAACAGACAAACAAAAAACCCCAAATGAAATCCTGCCAAGAATTTGGAGGGAAAGGAACTCTTACCCATTGTTGGTGGGAATGTAAATTAGTAGTCACTGTGGAAAACCGTGTGGAGCTTCCTTAAAAAACTGAAAATAGAACATCCCATATGATCTGGTTATACCACTCCTAGGTATTTATCCACTGGAACTGAAGTCAGCACACAAATTAGATTCCTCAATGCCCATGTTCAGTTCAGCACTATTCACAATCCCCAAGATATAGAAACAGGTGAGACCTATCCACAGATGAATTGATGAAGAAAATGTGGTATGTGTACACAGAGAAGTATGATTCAGTCATTGAGGAGAATGAGATCATGTCACTTAATGGAAAATGGGTGAAACTGGAGGACATCATGGTAAATTAAATAATCCAGAGACAGAATAGCAAGTACCTCATATTTTCTGTCATATGTGAAAACAAATAAACAAAAATGACCTGAAAGTAAAAGAGGGACCATTATGGAAAGGGAAGAGGAACAGGAAGAAGGAAAAGACAGGGCCGGGTAAGAGAGGGTACAGGGAGGGTGGGTATGATCCAAGCAGGATCTACACATGTATGCATGTATGGAAATGTCACCACAAAAGCTATGAATTTGAACAATTAATAGGCATTAATAATTATGACTTTAAGAAAAGGATCATTATAACAACAATGAATGAAATTAGAAATTAAATTAGAAGAAATGGGTAAATCCCTAATCCAACACAACCAAACAAGACAGAATCAAGATGAAATAGATAACTGGAACAGATCAATAATGAGTAAGGAGACGGTATCCGGGATTAAAAAGTCTTCAATTAAAGAGAAACTTAAGACCAGATGTCTTCACTGGTGAAGTATACACAACTTTAAAGAAGAACTAAGTATCAGTCCTTCTCAAATCCTTCTCAAATGTCTTTAAAAAAATCAAAGAATGCTTCCAAATATTTTTTTATAAAGACAGCATTACCTGACACTAAAATAAAACAAGGACATTATAAGAAAAGAAAATTGGAGACCGGAACACAGTGCCTATGCAGAGAGGAACACCACTGAAGTTCCCTATCCACCAAAAGGTGGCTCTACCTAAACCACCTCCATCTTGGGACATTGCAGGCACCACCATAGGCCTCCTCACATGGTAATCTCCACCATGAGTCAACAGACAGGGCCAGGAGGCAGCTGCCTGTTGCAGCATCACATGCCACAGGGCAGCATCACTGAACTGGCCTCCTAAAGCCATCACACAGCCCAACCTTCCAGCCCCATCTCTGAAAGCAGTTGCCTCCATCTTGGGACATCTCCACCACCATCTTGGGTTACCTCCACTGCTGCCTCCACCATCTTTAGCTGGGGCAGCTTCCATCTTGGAACACCAACTGGGGCCTGGAAACCTTACATCAAGGTAACTATAGGCTTGATGCTACTGCCACCACCAACTAGAGATCTGGCCACTTCCATTTAGGAACAACAAGGACCTGGAAGACTGTCACCAAGGTCCCTGTGGGCCTGGTTTCAGCATATGTATCCCTGCTAGGTGTGCTAACGGACACCAGAAGCAACAAGGAGCCTTGCATGGGGTCACCTCATTCTCTTTTTTCTCCTGCTAATAGCCAACATCCTTTGATTCCCCTTTCACTCATTCTATAATATAATACCTCTAATTCTCACATCCTAAACATTATAACCCCCTTTCTCTGTCCATCATTAGAAGCTGTAAACCCTTATGCAAACCTATTGGCTATATGATAGAAGATAACTGAACTCATCATTTCTGTTTATAGTGACAAAACAGTGAATGTCTAAATAGAAGTTAATTGATTTATGGCTGCATATTGTTTGCACTGGGTGATGTAAACATTGATCTCCCCACTAAGGTGAGGTACTGGTAACCTGCAGGGACACTGCAAAATTCTAGGGTAGAAACTTCAATACCTTAGAGAAGCACTGTCAGAGAGAAAGACACACAGACAACATGAAAAAACAAGGGAGGAAAGTGTCTCAAACAAACCAAGATACTACAATAACAGAATCCATTGATAGCACAGTAGATGAAATGTCAGAGAAGGAGTTCAGAAATGTACATAATTAAAAAGTTGTGCAAATTAAAGAATGATCTAAGTGAACAAATATCATGCAAAAATTGATCACTCCAACAAAGAGATAAGAGAGCAAATATAGGCACCCATTGATCACACCAACCAAGAGATAAGGAAGCAAATACAGGTAGCAAAAAGATCACTTCAAGAAAGTGATAGAGATTATGAAAACAAACAAATCCTTGAAATGAAGGAAACAATAAACCAAATAAAAAACTCAATAGGAAGCATCACCAATAGACTAGATCACTTGGAAGACAAACCTCAGACAATAAAGACAAAATATACAATATTGAAAATAGAGTGGACCACAGAGTGAATATGGTAAGAAACCATGAACAGAACAACCAAGAGACCGTATCTCTTAAAAAAAAAAAAAAAGTTAAAAAGGGCTGGGGATACGGCTCAATGATTGAGTGCCTCTGGGTTCAATCTCAGGTACCAAAAAAAAAAAAAAAAGTTGCCAAGAATATACAATGGGAATAAAATTGTCTCTTCATAAGTTGAAGACACTGCATACCCACATGCATAAAAATAAAACTGGACCCTTATCTCACACTGTACAAAAAGTCAAGTAAAAATGAATTAAGGACTTAATGTAGGATCAGAACTCTACTAAAAGAAAACATAGAAGAAAAATTACATAACACTGGCCTGAGCAAATGACATTTTGGACTTAACTGCCAAAGTGCAGGCAACACAGTGAAATAGACAACTGAGATTATATCAGACTAACAAGCTTTGGCAAAGCAAGGGAAATGACTAACACTGTGTAGAGAGACCTGCAGGTTGGGAGAAAATACTTGCCATCATGTACTGTGATAAGAAGTTATGAAACCCAATATATAAAGAGCTCAAATAATACAGTAACAAGAAAACCTCCCAGTTAAAAAAATGATAAGGGATCCAAATAGGCATTTCTCAAAATGGACGCTATGTCCCTATAGAAACGGACAACACATCTGCAAATGCTCAATGTCACCACTGACTGCAAAAATGCACATTGAAATCACAGTGAGATAGCGGCTCACACTTCTCAGAATGGCTCTTATCAAAGAATGAAAACAATAGCAAGTGCTGGCAAGAATGAAGAGAAAAGGAACACTTCTACACTGGTGGCGAGATGGTAAAATGAAAGCAGTTTCCTTGCAGAAGGAAAGGTTCAATTGCCATATGATCTGGCAATCCCACTATTGAATATTTACTCAAAATACTTAAAATCAGTGTGTTGAACTGTTGTCTGCACCCCAAAATTCACTGCAGAACTAGTCACAATAGTCAAGTTAAAGAATCAACCCAAGTGTCCATCAACCAAGGAATGGATTAGGAAAATGTGATATTATACATGTGATTAGCCTTAAAAAGAAGAAATCCTATAATTTGTGACAATGTGGTAAGATTGGATAACATGAAATGAAACATCAGACACAGAAAGACAAAAATCACATTTTATCACTCACGTGAACTCTAAAACAATTGACTCATAAATACAAAGAGAAAAAGGGCAGTTCCATAGGGTGGTGAAGGGAAGAGGGAAATGATGGGAAAGGGTATAAAAATGTCAGGAAAACTCTTTTTTGAGTTCTATTGTACAGTGTGACAAATAGAGTTGATAATAGAGTACTATCCATTTCAAAATTAATAAGAGAGGAAATTTCACATCTTCTCAGTATAAAAAGTGTTAAGAATTTGAGGATATGTATGTTAATCAAGTTACATAATTATTCTATATTGTATTCATGAATTGTAGTGCCACACAATTTACCCCATAAGTTCATACAAATATATTTTGTTGGTACAATTTTCAAAAATTCTATGAATATTCTCTCTCTCTCTCTCTCTCTCTCCTATACTCTCTTCACCCTTCTTTTCCTTCTTACTTACAGTTGCTCTCAGATAATTGCAACTTCAAAGAGAGAAAGAATAAAAGTGGTCAATCAAAAGTGGACACCCCCCCCTAGACTGAGCTCACATATCCCTAACCTCACACCCCACACACCGCCGCGGGTCAATGTTGGGAGGCCCTGTGATGGACCCCAGCCAGGCCCTCAGCTTGCCCACTCAGGCACACACAACGATAGACAAAAGCCAGCACAGACATTGAAAATCACCACCTCTGACCCCTGCTCTTCCTACTGTCCCCTTCTTCTGCCCTTTTGCTCCTGAACACCTTCCTGACCTATACCTGAATCACACTGTGACCTCACCTCTGCTAGTCACACCCTAGCTCCAAGCAAACTCTGATCTTGAAAATCTTCCAAGACCCGTCCTCCCACCCTTGCCCACCCCACACCAAAACCCCAGGGAAGGGGCTCTGTGGCAGAGGCTGTGTGTGCCTCACTCAGGTCCCATTTCTGGGCAGGCCACCCTGACTTCCTCTTCCAGAATCTACAGCTCTTTGCTCAGGCTTTTCTCCCACCATTAGAAACGACTCTGCCCATGTTTGCAGCAGCTCAAAGCACCACAGAATTAACCCGTGGAGCAGCCTTCAACCACAAGTGGGTATGGGGAGAAAACACCCAGATTCCCCATCCTGCAGACAGGACAATCCTGAGGGGTCTGTGACTTGTGCACAGTGGACATGTGAGTGGCAGTGCATGATGGATGGCTTCCATCTCTATCCTGCCTCAGTTCCTCATCTGGTGCTTGCTGGGTTCAGCTCCCACATCAACTACCTGCATTTGGATCCTCTTCTGAGTCTGCTGCTAGTGGACACCACCCATGTGGAGAATCAGGCAGACCCACCCCAGGCTCTGTGCTGACCTTCAGCAGTTTCCACATCTGTCTATGCTGAAGCTGGTGGGTTGGTCCTCTTCCCATCCAACCTCTGGGACTCACCTCTGTGGCCACGGGCCACAGTCACAGATGGGATACCAAACACTACATCAGCAATCAAATCCAGGAACAGGTCTTTCTTTCTGACAGGGTCGTCTGTCCCTCCTAAATACTTCTCAGTGGCCACTGGAGTCAGTTCCTCAGAGAGGTTCTGAAATCACCAAGCAAGAGAGACCCCCATGCTGTAAGTACTGCAGCTGCACAGCCGGTTCAGGAGGCTCTGTCCATGTGAACCACCCACCCTGTGCAAGCCTCCTGGGGTGGGAGGAGGCAAGGGCAGAAACATGGGGTTGGAAGCCCAGGTCCTTGGCTTTCTTCTGCCATTGAATCGGTCTGTAATTTGGGGCAAATGCCCATCCCCCTGTTTCTCAACAGAGTCCCATGATTCCCTAGAGTCTTACAACAAGGGGATAGGACTTCCACAAGAGGGCTGTGGCCATCTGCTGGTCCAGTTTGCCTTCAGAGAGAGGGTAGCCCATCATCTGAAGAAAAAAATGATGAAGCATTAGTGAATCATCAGGAATTATCAGAAAGAATCAAACAATGGACCCACCAACAAGCAATGCAGAACAAAGGCTCTTTGTTGACTTGTGGTTTTCATGGGTCTTTCATAATACTTTTTTAAAAAACAATCAAACAAATGGACATATATACAGAAACTCGAGGAGTAGAAAGAGGAAGCCTTAAATAACTATATTTATCAGTCCAGGGGACACAGTGGTCATCCAGGCAGCAAGGAAAGTCCAGGGTAGGGTTGAAGCAGAGGGTTTATGACCAGGCCCAGACCATACCCACAGACTCAGTGACCAAGGAAGACAAAGTCCACGTCCTTGTCATCACCTCTGAAATTCTCTGAAGTGAGAAGAGCAGAACTCTCCGTGTTAACAGCTCTGTCAACCTCTGCGCTCAGAGACTTGACCCAACTTTAGCCTGGCTTCTAGTGGCTTAAGAGCATGACCCAGGAGGACCCGAGTTCCCCCCAAATGCCTGCCTCTGAAAGCACATGGTTTTCTCCAGCCCAAACCTGGTGACGGGCACACAGGCCCCTGAGCCTTCTGAGGGCAGTTACTGTAGAAAGCTTGCCATTATGGATACTTTCTCCTTTCCTTTGGGATGTAAGTCTCCTACCTCAAACTGTTCCCTCAAGGATCCGAGAGCCATGAAAACAATGTTTTAAGAAAATGTTTGAAATGTAGACATTGAGGGAGATGACTCCTTTTGCTCATTTATTTATTTATTTTGGGGCAGTGCCCGGGATTAAGCCCAGGGCGCTCTACCACTAAACTACCTCCTCAGTCCTTTTTATTTTTTATTTTGAGACAGAGTCTCACTAAGTTGCTGAGGCTGGCCTTGAACTCGTGATCCTCCTGCCTCAGCCTCATGAGTTGCTGGGATTCTATGCATATGCCATCTGCCTGGGTGAGGGAGATAACGCTTGATCTCCTTCCCAGCCCTGGTGGGAGGATAAAGACCTAACTTCAGTTAACACCTCTGCTTTGTCTCATGAAGGGAAGGCTGCTTCTCCTGCAGATGAGCGAGGATCAAGAACTGCCAGGTCAGCCACACCTCCTTGAGCACTCCCAGCGTTGAGATGTCTCCAGCCTTTGCCTCCAGGGATTGAGTTCAGGTCATGCTTGATCTTTTTGCTATTGTGATCCTATTGCTGATTAAACCTGTCCTATTTGACTAGAGTCCAGCTTTGGTTCTTGCTGTGGGTCAGTAATAGCCCATTGATATATGTAAGTCTGTGTCAGCTCAGGAGAAGCAACTCCTTCTGAGTCTTTCTATGAGGTGACTCAGTCTGAGTGTGGGCATTGGTGGGCCCCATGGGTCCATGTCCAAGATGAAAGCTATTACACCCCAGGTCTAACTCTCCTGAACCCCCCAGCTTCCTCCCCCTCCTAGAATGCCTTTCCATATGCATCAATGTTATCTCTACAGCACCTCCTTGCCTGATCACTTTAGGATTCTTTAATGGAAAAACAATCAATAATTGTTTGAGGAGAGGGGTTCGCCAGGCTGCACCACCCGGAGTCAGTATTACTATCCTGGAAAATATTTCCAAGAAAATGTCAACCAGGGCTAATGGGCATAAGTGCCCTGGGTGGGTTAGAGAGGGGAAGGGGATGGAGAAGCCAATGGGAGCCGGGAGGGAGGGAAGAGGGTGAGCCTGTGTGTGGGTGCCTGTGTCTCAGAGGCCTGCACGCCCTCACCATCGGAATGATCCAGCCAAACTCTTGCTTGTTGATTCCCACCATGTAGGGGACAGTGTTGAAATTCTTTTCAGCCAAAATCTCTTCAGGTGTCTTGGGCAGCAACACTCCGTCAACCACAGTGGGGAGGAAAGGATAGCTCTAGGGGAGACAGGCACAATGTGTGTTATTATCCTGTCCAGGCAACGCCTGCGTTTCTCTGCCTATGTGGGTGCTCAGCCAGCACTTAGACCCTCAAGGCTATGAGCAGTGACCACAGAATCTCAAGGTCCTAACAACCAAAGTCTGTGAGACACAAAAAGAATTTAACAGGGGAGATTTGGTGATCGGTGCTGGTTTTATACATGCATAAATTTGATTCTGGTTCATAGTAGTTATATCTGTAAAATTCAGTGAAGGCTCAATTAGTGAATATGGAACAATTCCAGGGACTGTCCCAGAGTGAAGTTCTTAGGAGTCTCAAAATTTTCATTACCCTCGTCTTATGTGTAGGTTTCTATTTTAAAGAGCTTTATGTAATAGAGATTTGTTTGCAAAACATCAAATCTATATTTATATCCACATATAATTTCTTACAAGGAATTGGTTGTACTATTTATTTATAATAAGACACCAGCTGAGGGATGCTTAATGTTCTCTAGACCCTGCATAATGTAACTGCAAATTTCTCTAGTTATCTATCAGAAGATAGATAACTCTGCTATCCACTGTGCTTTTTCAAAATTCAATATCTCACAAATGCACAAATATGGCTGCTTTGCCATCTTTTCCACAGCTGCATCGTATACTATCAATGTCATATTAGCATTTTTTTTTAGTTTTTTAGTTGTTGATGGACCTTTATTTTTTATTTATTCATTTCTATTTGGTGCTAAAAATCAAACCCAGTTCCTCACACATGCTATGCAAGCACTCTATCACTGAGCTGCAACCCCAGCCCCATATTAGCACTTTTGAGAGTGGCCTCACCTACACAGGGGCACATCTCTACTCCCTCTCTGGATGGACTGACTGTTGACTCATTACCAATGAACTCACAGCCAAGAGCACCATCTATCACATGCATCTTCTCCCCAAGGCAGAGCCCAGGCTCCTAGGCTTAAGAACTCTAGTCAGCATTTCTCCACTATGCTTGAGAGTCATTATAAATAGAAAAATAACCAACAAAAAGCAAATATTGCAAAAGATGTGGCAACACATAGGTCACAAAAGGGACATTTGTTCAAAAGAGAGATGATGCAAGGAGAGTATTTCCTTGTTTGACCTTGGAGGGGAACAAGGACATCACAGGACTCAAACTTCTCACTGTGGTGTACGTACGACGTATGTTGCAAATGGCCAGGATTAGGCCACTGGTGTTGATTTGTTGGTTACAAATACATTTTAGCAAGTAAATGAACTCACAAACACAGAATTCATGACTAATGAAGGCCGACTGCATACTTCTATTGATTGTTAAACATGAGCTGTCTTACGTAACTGCTGAGCTTTAAGGAGGTTTTGACCTCACCATTCAAGGTACTACATTGAGACTTGATTCCCAGTTTGTGGGAAATAAAAGGTAAGAGCTAATCCTCCTTCAATAGCTGACTGCAGAGAGCAGGATCTGGGTGCAACTACCGCTGCCTTAGGAAGGCTGTGGGATTCCAGAAGGTTGTCCCAGGAAGCCAGTGAGAGGAGCAACTCATCTGAAGGAGGATTCCTGCAGGTCACATGGACCAGGCTGCCATCTGCATGGGTTCTGGGAGCCAACACTCTTGACCAGTGAAGAAAAGGATGGGGATTTCAAACAGCAGGAAGGGCATAACCAAAGGACCCTAAGTGTCACCTGCAGGGCTAATTCCAGGAGCCTCAAAGACATGTGGTTGTGTCATGAAACAAGTTTTCTTGTGCACAATGTCTGGCACTTCCCTGGCACTCGGGTTTGTTTGGAAGAACCAGCTCAAGGGGAGTCGTGGAGTTGTTTTGTAAGCAAGGTCAGGCTGCTAAGAAAGGGGGTGACATCTTCTCACTGGGGTCTGGAGGGCAAATCTGCTGAGACCATGGGACGTGGAAGTGGGAAGGGAAAGAAGAGACAGAACAGGAGAGAAATCCAGAAGATAGACAGAAGGGCAGCATCTGGGAGGGGGCGAGTAGCATCAGCATCCCTAGGACAATAGGAATTGTCCCTGTGTACCCAGTGGATCCTAGTGCTGCCCTGTGGGGGCCATGTGCACTGATTGCCAGACCTGGCTCAGAGAACTCAGGGGCCTCCTTCACTCCACTCTCTCATACCGTACTATCCATTTGCAAGTCCTGTTGCTGTTCCAGACTCCAACACTTCTCACCACCCCACTGCCCTGGCTCTGGCCTAAGCCACCTGGATTCCTTGCCTGGGTAGTTGCAGCATATTGGCCTCCCAGCTGGTCTCTCTGTCCCTGTCCTGGTCCTTCCAATATGAAACAGACCTTTGTAAAAGGTCTCTGTTCGAGCCCTCTGAGCCCCTCCCAACTCCTGCCAATCAAGTCCTTCCAGGGACCATCCCATCCCCACCTCCAAACCTCCTTAGCCTCGATCCTGCTCCCTTCACCCACGGCCTCCCCTCCACACACAGGGCCTCTTGGGCCTCTGCAATTGCTGTCCCCTCTGCCAGAAACACTCCTCCTCCAGTTTTCCTGACAACTGGCTTTCTTCCCTCATGCAGAGTTTGACCCCAAGGTCACTGCTCGTCAAGCCATCTTCTGAACCTGACCTATTTACTCTCAAACCCCAGACTTTTCTGTCCCTATTTTCTAACTTATTTTTAACACTAATTTTGACCACCATCAACACATTCCTCCCTGCACAGCTGATAAAACCCATGGCCTCCCAGGAGATCCGTCCTCGTCCTCCTTGGTGAGGCCGCCTCTGCCCTTATCCTGTTATCTCTGTCTCCTGAGAGGGGAAGGGTAGTGCTGACTCCTCCCACAGGGCATCTGGGAAGCAGGAGATGTAAACAGGAAGGGGAAAGCTTGGCCCACGGACACAGACGAGCCGACTGGGAGCACTGCACTGGGAGTCAGGGGAGTGGGTTGCAGTCCTGCCTCTGGTCCACCTGGCTGTGTCACCCTGAAAGTGACCTCCCCTCTCTGGGCCTCAGCAAGACACACACAAGGAGGGACTGTGRTTCCACAAAGGAGAATTCTTCCATTCATCGTGAATTGGAGCTTAAAGACCTTAAGACTCAAAACCTGTAATCAAGAAGCCGAAAGTCCTTACCTCTCTGGGGTCTCCAAATAAATCAAGGCTAAAAAAATTCTGTGAAGAAAAAAGTAGAGAATATGGGTGAGACGTCTCCCTGGCATAAAAGTTGACCCTTTGAGTGGTGCTCTACAGGTATTGGGTTCTACCACCTGGTGCCTCCTTGGCTGGACCCAGAGGAAGTGGACATGGCACAGACTGTACCTGGCATGAGCACAAGGTAGAGTTGTGGGGTGGGGGAGGAGCAGGCAGCCAGGGAAGGAGAGACCTGGGAACCAGAGTCAGGGTCCCTGGGGCTCTGGGGCGGACCTCTGCTGTCAGTGCCATCCTCCTCTCCATCCTTTCCCCTACTTGTTCTTACTGGCAGCAAAACCCCAATTTTCCTCTGGGGGAGACATATAAACAAGATGGCAGCAGCAGCAGAGATGGGTCAGCCTCAGCCGGAGATGGGGCTGGAGGTGCCATGGACCACCAGGAGGGGGCACTCTCCTCCTCTCACATGCCACCCCCATTTTGCACTTCTCTAGCTCCTCTTCATGAGTTCAGGTCTCTATATGTGACCTGGGGTGCTCCATGTCCTTGGACATACAGAGGTCAAGGACAGTACAGGCCAGTGTCAGCCCAACAGAATTTGTACCAAAATTACTCCCGAAATTGTTTAGATAATTTCTAAGAAGATAGGATATAAGTCCAGAGTACTTATGATCTTTAATCTCCCCAGGGGACAAATACACTTCAGAGAGAAGCCAACTAAGAAGAGTGGCAAGCTGAGGGACAGAGACAGACCGCTTCTCAACACTATCTTAAGAGCACCTGGAGCCATCTGCTTATGAACCTTTGTTACCTCAAGACACTGTTTATATATATATTCCCCCCTCCCCACCAAGAATTTTGAAGTGGGTTTTCTAATCCTGCATGAGAAAATCTTAATTCAAACAAGCCACTGAAACTCATGCCAACCTATATATTTGTCTTTGCTGTGTTCACCAACATTCAGCAACTGAAAAGTTACACTCACCATTATGGGTTGTAGCACCCCCAGGAAGGGATGAGGGTGTGTGTGTGTGTGTGTGTGTGTGTGTGTGTGTGCATACACTCTGGGTAGCTGATAATCATGGAAGCATTTCTACAAGGACTCTGACCATCTCAGAAACAAGCCCTTGGATCTGAAGTTCTCTGGGTTTTCCTGAAGTCACTAGCAATTCCCATATTAGCTTGTGCTTTGTGCTGAACTAAAAATGGCTGGCCCATTTGCCTCTTTCCACATATTAGACAACAGCTTTACCTTAATTCTTGAAACAAGTTTGGTTACCTCATTTGAGCCTGATGGATCAGCACCCAAGCCCTGGGTCCACGTTGGACTTGGTTCACAGACATACAGGCTCAACCAGTGCAGCCTGAACCATAGGTCCAGAAGTACCCTCTAGTGTCCAAAGTCCAAATGGACAGGCCAGGGGCTCAGGTCATGTCTGAGCTCGCAGCCATAACTCCCCTAACTAAGGGAATAGTTCCCATTGGCCCTACACACAGTTTTATCTGAATATGTGTCCTGCAGAGTTTCTCTGTGATGACAGACCGCCATGACCATCCATCAGTCCTCAAATGTCACTCTCCCTGAGAACTCCTGTTAGCTACAATGACTGTTTCCCCTCTCTGTCCTTCCACCACACTTTCCCCACTAAATATATGACTGTGTTTCTCCTTCAAGGATTCTTTTTGAGCAGGTACTGTGTCAATTTATATCTGTATCACCTCTCCTGATACCTACACTCCATATGCTTTGGGCAGGAGGGTGGATGGATGGTTGGATGGTTAGATGGATGGAAGGTGCTGGTCAATATAAGCACTATAGTTGAACTGGATGGGTATATGAGAAAATGAACAAAAATCAGCAGATTGCTTTTGGAGGAATGGATGATGAATAGATATATGTTGGCTGAAAAGTTTGACAACACCCAAATAAAAAGCTATGGAGGGATTGACGCTAGGTTGATGAAAGGATTTTAGTGAAGTGGGTGGAAGAGTAGATGATGGATGAATGGATGAGCTACTCTGGAATCCTAACTGAGGCAAAGTCTCACCCAACCAAGAAAACGGGTCTACCACTGTGTTCTAATTAATGAAATTTCTAATTCAACCAAGGCAAATGATGACATCATTCTAAACATTTTTTTTTCAGTTACTATTCTCATCCCTAAAATTCAGGATGTCAGTTACTTGTGGCTATATGAAATATTTCGCTTCTTAAAAACCCTTATAAAAAGAAGAATAACATTAAGTGTTGAAAGGCCCGAGGGACATTATGCAAATTCCATCCTATTATTGTTGGACATTCTTGACGTTTGGAGGTGTTTCATAATAAAAATGGAGAAAAAAAATCAATTTCTCAATTTGAATGAGGTGGCTGACACTGCTGCTGAGATATGTCTCACTGTCCAGGTGGTGGCCCTGGGCAAGAGGACAATAGCTCAACCAGTGAAGCAGGGCCAAGCACATGGGGAGGGGGCCACTGGAATGGAGGCACCTACCATTTTCAGCGTGGTCTCCAGGAGCTCCTCCTCTGTCTTCTGGCGCAAGCAGTGAACCATGACTGCAGACGTGGTGGTTTTACACCCAGCGGTAATAGCAATTTTCTAAGAGAGAGAGGCAAGAATAGGGTTAAAGAGCAGCGTGCCTCCCTCCCACACGTAGACAGAGGTATTCTATGCCACTGTCAACTTCTTTAAGGAAGTAATGGGCAGCCAAAAATGCTTTGGAGCAGCAGGTGTGGGTTCTGGGCTCCCTGCAGTGTTATCTCTATTAATAACTGGAATGGTGGTATAAGCCTGTTACATAATGTCTCCATACCTACCTACTCATCACCATTAAAATGAACACAATGTCCACTCCCAGCATCTCAAAAATGAATAAATAACTAAATAAATTGGGCACAAATTTCTCAAAGTTGAATGTCTCAAAAGAGGCTCTTTGGTTGGGGGGTTAGGAATTTGAAATCCAGAATTCCACTGTCAAATTCACCTCCTCCCTTGACGTGCTACTTGGCCATTCAATCTCTTTGTGCCTCACTTCCCCCACCAATAAATGATGGTAAGGATTACAGTAATGTAGTAAGAAGAGTTAATGCATGTGACATGCTGAAATTCGCCCCATGGGTCCCACATGCGGGAGCTCATGTGTGATTGCAGGAACCCCAGAGAAGGAAATACCCATGAAGAATCTTCAGAAAATGTGGAAGGTGACTGAACTATGAAAGAAGGCCTTCCTGCTCAACCATCACTTCGTGGATGCTTGGAGTGTTTCTGATGAACACCACTGGAAAGTTCCCCAGGGGTTCTAAGGGAGCAGAGGACGAGTCCAGGAGCTGTCCAGGATGAGACCTACCTCAGCCACGGGCTTGATGTCCTTCCTGAACAAGGCAGCAGTGAGGGCCACGCCACTCTCTGAGATGGCCCTGTGGAAGAGGTTCTTGGCCAGAGGAGACAGCACCTGGCAGGGGAGTGGAGAGGAGGAGGTTCACGCTCACAGGGTCAACAAGTCACTTGCTCCTTCAGGCTCCCTCAACCTGCTCCTCTGCCCTGACCATTCACCTGGAGAGTCTGGGGGTGAGGCAACACTCCTCACCTACCCCAGCCTGCTGCCCAGGCTCACCCTGGGGCCAGCTTTCCTAGGACAACCTCTGCAGCATGCAACCAGAGCCCACAGACAGGCACAGAGCAGGACGTGTGTGGCCAGGCTCACCATGACTATCAAAACTCCTGGAAGACAGCAGGGCCTTCCTACCCACAAATTCCCTTTGGGCATTTCTGTTACTCAGAATTTATCTGAAAAAAAAAATGATCGTGAAAGATCATAGAAATTTCTAAGAATGTCCACACTGTTTATCATCATAAAAAAATGGAAATAACCTAAAGTATGTTCTACTATGATGAAACCAGGTGAATGCATAATTTTTATTCTTACCTTGGAACACTATACAATTATTAAATTATTAATTAAATATAATACTCTGTAAGAGTACATAATATTAAGAGAAATCTTAATGTTACACTGTAGCATATGGAAATTTTGTAGGTAAAAATAACAAAGATAGATGATAGAAAGGGAGAGTTGATAGATGAAAGAAAGAGACAGGGATAGAAAGAGATAGAAAATTGGGGTTAAAAATACTAGAGAACTGCATGTCAAAATGTCAACAGTAACTGTCCCGGGAGAGTAGGTTTATAGAATATTTTCTTTGGGTTTATGTAYATTGTGGCTTTTCTTTACTTTAAAAAATACATAGACATTTTCCTCTGAGTATTCAACTATGGAGCCAATGTATGTTGGAAAATTGCAGTGGTCGGCTGACACTGCTCAACTGTGAGGTGGCAGGAAGGTTTCTTTGGCTCCTGAGCTTCCTGTAGCTTCCGTGTCCACCCTCTTCCCCAACTCGAGCCAGACATCCTCCATCCCCGGGTTCTATCTCTATCCACATCCCATGTGCCATCTCTCCCGGTTCCACTTCCCACCTCTGATCCTCTTACCCATCTCCCCTTAATCCCAGGGAATTCTGCCCTCCCCCCGGGCATACACCAGCCACCATGGAGACAATGCCCCCTCCTGCTCGTGGTGATCAGATCTCTTGTGGCTCTGCCTTGGAGCCAGACAACAAACCTTTATCCAACTCAGAGCTTCACCTGTTCTGAGTGAAATTTATACCCACCCCGCAAAGAAGTGAGGGGAGTCCTGGTGCTAAAATGATTAGGAAAGAGAAAAAGAAAGAGAACCCAATCAAATGAGAGGAGGAGGAAGGGCACAGTTACAGGTTGACCTGGAGATGCTTCTGACCCCAGGACATAAAGCTGAACTCTGAGTTTTCTAGAAGCCAGGGAGGGGTTGGGCTGTGGCTTCCTCTCAACCATCTCCCCCAGATCAATCACATTGGGTCCTGGGGAATTCTGCCCTATCTCTTGGGCATGGGCAAGATATCAGAAAAACTCAGAGGAAGCCCTGCCGACTCTTGCCTAACAAGTCCCCTCTGTGTGCAGGTCTGGCCTGGAGCCCAACGAGGTCTTTCCACACAACTCCTGTCCTCGCCCCTTCTTGTAATTTATACCCACCCCTACTTCCCAACAGAAGTGAGCTGAGTTCTGGGGTTCAAGTGATTAGGAAGGGGACGGAGAACTCAGTCTGAGAGGAACAGGACGGTCACTATTACAGACCCAGCTGGAGATGCTGCTGGCCCCAGGACATGAAGCCGAGCTCTGAGCTTCCTGGAGGCCAAGAGGGTCTGGGGCCTGACTCCCCACCATCTGAAGCCAGGCAGTTAGCAGAGTCACCCCTGAATCCAGTCTTGCAACCAAAGGAGCCTGTGGTTAGATCTGCTGGTCTCCAAGAGGTCCAGGGTGGGCAGGGGCAGAAGCACTCACAAGAACAGAGACACTTTGTCCTCCTGCTGACTCTCCAAAGATGGTCACAGAGCCTGGGTTYCCTCCAAAGTTGGCAATGTTGTCCTGGACCCAGCGCAGAGCAGCCACCTGRTCCAGGTGACCCCAGTTCCCCCGGCCATGCTCATCCCCGGTGCTGCAAGATAATAGGGTGGGGTGGGGACCTAGATGTCATGTCAGAGCTCTCGGGACAGAGAGATGAGCTGGGGACTCAGTGGTCACCACCTGACTGTCATCCCTGCAGCACTGCTCTGCAGGGAGTCTTCATTCATTCCTCCAGCAAGGATGTGCTGAGTGAGCACCTACTATGCACCCTACCCTGGTTTAAGAGTCAGAACATCCCCAGGAACCACATAGGCAAAACCCGACTACACTCAGCTCACACTCCAGAGCACAAACAGATGAAAAGAGAACACAATGTTCATGAGTGAAGGTGGTCTGAGGTAATGACAGGTAATGACAGAGGCAGGGTGGGGCAGTGGGGGGGTTCAGATCTCAGCACCAGGAAAGGCCTCTGTGGGGCAGTGGCATTGGGTARAGACCAGCATGAAAGGAGCACAGGTCTTGTAAATGTCCAAAGGAGAAATTCCAGGGAGGAGAAGCAGCAGGTGCGAAGGCCCCAGGGCCAAGGGCACCAAAGTGTGAGTGTAGCTAGAGTGAGAGGCACTAGAGAGGGCGCTGGTGGCCTTGGAGGGGACTTCTCTGTCAACATCAGTGACCTGGGAGCCCTCAACAGAGGCAGGGCGAGACTCACCCTGGGCCTCTCCTGATCACTGGCCACTACGTCTGAGTCACAGGTTTATGAATATGGTCCCAACCATAATCCAGCCAGAGACTCAGCCATGAAGTGAGGTGGGAGGAGGGGCTAGATTCTGAGTGCGTTTACAGGAGGTGCCCTGCAGTTCCACTGGCCCACCGAGGTGGGGAGTGAGGACAGAGGAGCCTCCAGGCTGCCCCAGGCCTTCACCCTGACCACCCAGGAGGGGGCAGCTGCAGCAGAGGCACAGGGGCTGTGGGACAGCAGGAGAGCCTGAGCTGGAGGTGGGGGGTGTCTCTCCCTGTGAAGTGGAGGTGCCCTGTGCACAGCCAGGGCAGCAGGAGGAAGCAGCTAGGTGACACCTGGGTTCCAAGGATGAGGGGACACAGCAGGAGCTGTGAAAGGGCTTGATTTTGGGTGGCCAGGAAGCAAAAGGGGGCGAGGGTGAGCCTGTGTACCACACGGGATCACCGAGTCCCTCCGCGGCCCTGCCTGCTCTTCTTCCCAACCTGCAGGCTGCAGTGTCCCTCCCGAGGGTGTGCTGCCCGGGGAAGGGGTGAGCGTTTCAGAGGGGCTGATGCGTGGGCTGGGTCTTGCAGGGTCAATAGAATTGGGGCAGGGGCTGGGGAGGTGGCTCAAGCGGTAGCGCGCTCGCCTGGCATGCGTGCGGCCCGGGTTCGATCCTCAGCACCACATACCAACAAAGATGTTGTGTCCGCCGAGAACTAAAAAATAAATATTAAAATTCTCTCTCTCTCTCTCTCTCTCAAATAAAAAAAAAAAACAGTAGAATTGGGGCAGGAAGAGGGGACGGCACAAGCAAACGCTTGGAAGCAAGCAGACAGTGGCTGCCGAGAGGCTGGGGAGTGGGAGGAGGCGGGGCCTCCTAAAGCAGGACTGGGGTGCATTATGAAGGACTAGCCAGGAGGCGGCGTGCTGACATGACTGGAGCTGTTCTGGCATCTTCACTTTGGTGACTGCAAGGGTTTGGATGAGGGTCACCTCTCAGGCTCAGGTGCTACCACCTTGGTCCCTGGTGTGGTGTATTAAGAGGTGTGAGAGCCCATAAAAGATGCAGCCGAGTGGAAAGTGACCAGGTCATTGGGGTACAGCCCTTGAAGCTCATGGAAACCTGGTTAGTTGTGGTGAGAGGGAGCCGTTAAAAAAAAGATGATGGCCGTCTCTTCTCCCTTCTCTCTGGCTTCCCTTCCCACCTCTTCTGTGGATTCCCTTTCTGTTTCTCCTCCGTGTTGCGGAGCCCAGGGGCCCACACCTGAGGCCCATCTGAGGAAACCACCCATCTTGATCTGAGCTGAATCAATTTATTTTCTGTATATTTATTCAGCCCCCCGTATTTTATTATATTAACACAAGGCAGACCATTGCAGGGGCTACTGTGCAGAGAGGAGAGTCCAGCGCCTTACCTGAAGAACCCCCAGATGCCCAGGCGGTACTGGATGGTCACCACCACCACGTTTTCCAGGGCAGAGAGGGGCAGTCCATCATAGGTGGATGCCCCGCCCACCACCAGACCCCCTCCGTGGATCCAGACCATCACCTGGAAAAAAACAGTGCAGCCATACACATTATGGGAAACAGAAGTGGGAAGGACCTCAGAGGGTGTCTGGTTTGGTCACCTACATCTTGACTGGGACCCATGAAGGCCATTACCCACTTCCTCCAGAACCCAGCAAACTTGCAACATGGGCCACCACTTCACCCAATGCACCTGCCTTTATCTCCAGATCCGTGTGCCATGTCCCTCCTAAGGCACTGAAAAACCAAAAATGTCAACAGGACAAGGCAAGGATGTTGTGTTGTCCCCAACGCCCCCAAGGTCTCCACACCTGGATAATTTGATCAGCTTCACATAACCATGGGCAGCACTTGTATTTCAGCATCGCCTCCGTTAACTTTTTAGTGGAGATTTAAACTTCTGGGTCACCCTTGGAGTCAAGGAGAAGAGTCAAACATCATGTACTTAAAATGCCCATTTTTGTTCTCAGAACCCAGCCAAGTCCAGGGAATAGTGAGAGCAGCCCTTTGGCAGATGCCTAGATAAGGTACTGACTGGCGCTCGCACATGCTAGGAATCAGGGCAGGTGAGTGTTCTCTGTGGAAAGCTGCTCTCTTGCATGCACGCCAAGTTCCTTGGGATGCTGGTCATACAACAGAACAAAGCTCAACTAACTTGTTCTGTAACTTAACCTGCAGAGCCCCCTCCCTGGGGTGACTGGGGAAGAATGGAGCACTGTGGAGAGGTAAGCCCTTGTCCAGCTGGCCATCAGTGGAAAAAAGGTCATGAGGCACTGAGACGCTCCCTTCTAGAGAAGCAAAGTAAGCCCTTGAAAAGCAATGCTACCAGTCAGTTCCATTGCCACTGGACTTTCTAGAAGGGTACTGACTTGCTCTCACACATGCTAGGAATTAGGGCAGGACCTTCCCAGTAAGTGTTTTTCAATAAACCTTATATCACACCTCCCATCTCTGAGGGTCTCCTTTGGTCTCTCAGCGACCTGCCCCACTGGCCGACCCTGACTTGGAAGGTGGATAGTAAACTTATCAAGGCAGGAATGGTCATTTCAGGGATCCCCTGCACCCCAACAGTTCAGCTTCCTGATGTGACTCCTTCTGTGTCTTCTGCACCCTCAAATGCACCCCAACCTCCTAAGCCCACTCACATCCACTTCCTTCAGGAAGTCTTCAATTATTCCACTAACATCAGCTGAGAATCCACCATGGGCCAGTGACTATGATAAGACTTAAAGATAAGAGTGGATCTTAATTCACGGTTCTTGAACTTAAAGAGCTCACATAACAGAGAAGAAATGAGAGTAGATAAAGTAATGCTGTCATAAGTCCCTAACAAGGAACAGGTGCATGTAACGTGAACTGTGCAAGAGAAACAGTTCTAAGCCCTAAAACTAACTTACCCATGCAGGAAGTGCTAATGCTGTGCTATTTGACAGGATAGCTGGGTCACTGAACCTGCTTGAGACCCTGCAACTAATAAGTGGCACAAGCATGACTTGAACATGACCCATGGGTCCCAGAGTCCACATGCTGAGCCCTTAGGGCAGGAGGAAGGTCCTGGGGTAGCTCTGACTCAAGTTTCAGGAGGGCTTGCTCTGCACACTCAGCCAGCCCTGAGATGAAGCCCGACTGCCATCATTAAAGCCTCACACGGGATTCTTCCCACGAGAGGAAGCAGAGGCTGAGGAAAGTTGCAAATTTGCCCAAGACTCTCAGCCAGGCAAAGGCAGACCCAGGATCTAAACCCAGGCCAGCGTCCATAGCTGCAGGGTCTCCTGCCTCCAGGGCCTGGGCGGAGTCAAGTTCACCCGTGAGTGAAGGCTGAGCCCAGGGACTGACTGGCAGTGGTGCCATGGAGAAGTTACAGTGCAGAGCAGATGGCAAGACCCTTGAAGGTGGGGCTGTGTGGTCATGGCTCCATGCCCCTCCTTTTCCTAACCCCCAAGCATAACTCTGTATATGGGGGCTCCATGTCCATAAAAGAAGAATGAATGAATGAATGAATGAATGAACGAAGGAACAAGGGAACCATCGTCCCCACCTCCTGTGACTTACAAAGCACATGTCGGACCAACTTTCATGCCCAAGTGTGAACATCCTCCACCACTCCTCGGAACCACATCAGGGGGTTCTGGGGGACTGGATGGGTGCAGATGCCCTTCTGTTACCCCAGGTGTGGCTCATTTTCCATCGGGTCCTCCCTACCCGCCAGCTTGCACCTGGCAGGCGGCCCCATCCCTGGCCCTTCCTTTGTTGGGGAAATGCTGACTCATGGGCATCAGCCTGTGCCAAAGCAATCAGGAAGGGAGTGAGCTACAAGAGCCTTCCAGATGTTTGGCCAAAGACAAGGAAAGGGCTTCCCACACCTCTCTCAGGGGACAGTGGAAGTGGGCACAGGTGGCGTGCTGCAGAGAGGTGATGCACGTGCTCCCCTTCCTAGACTGTGCTCAGGGACATTGGCTTACAGAAGCCCCAAGCTCTTGTCCTGTCACCCTTCTATGTGACCTCCCTTCCCCCACCTGGGCCTCAGTTCCTCTACCTCAAGAGGAAGGTTGGGTTGTTTGATTTTTCTCTAACTTATTTGAAAAATTATGTCTTTTCTGCCCTGGGGTTCACATTCTTGATCTAGTAACTAAGAGTGTCCATTTTTGTCTTTCGGTTGGCCTGAGAAAACATGAAGAGATTAATGTGTGCATTCCTGACGTACTGCAGTCTCCCCACAGATGCTGAGGTCGCCAGGGGAAACCAAGGAAAAGACCCCTTGTCTTTCCTGTGGTAAAGGAAGCTCAGGACCCCTGGCTCTCGTGGCCTGTGGGGCCCGTCACCCAAGCTTCCCTCACCCCTTCCTGTCTGCCCTAGTGGCTCCAGGACGCTGGCCCTCACAAATCTTGACAAGTGGGGCCCAACTCACCGGCAGCCTGCTTTTCTTGGTCAAGTCGGCAGGAGTGTAGATGTTCAGGTAGAGGCAGTCTTCGGAGAACCTGAAGGGAATGTTCTCCTTTCTGTTGGTGAAGAGCTCTGAGAGGACCTGCCCCCCCACTGCATCTTGGGARCACCTGGGGAGGGAAGGAAGAAGGGCTCAGAGACGCAACAAAATGGAGGTGGGAGGCGTCACCTGGGGCCCTCGCACTGAAGGTTTAGACTTCTAACTGGAGCTGCTATCACTGGACTTGAGAYGCTGGAGTGGGTGAGAAGCTGACTGGGGACTCCCTCGAGTCTCCCCAGATCACACAGAGTGACAGGGACCTGGGACTTTTCCTCTTCCTGGAGGCTGTAGGACGTTCTGGCCTCTGCTTCAGCCACTGATGTGCTCTGTGACCTTTGGTGAATTCCTATCCTGCTCTGGGTCCCTACCTGYCAGGTCTAAATGAGTGGAGTGCTTTCTCTAAGGATCCTGCAACCCTGGCGTTCTAAGATTCTGTCATCTACCTACCCCAGACAGTCACTGTGGCTGCCCTGTGAAGAGATCTCTAAGATCCAGCATAGAAGGGAGTGGGTGACATTTGCTGAGAGAGGCCGGGCACTGACTGGAGTCCTTCTGAGCTACCCACTACTTGAAGCCTCCAGTCAGCCCTACGGTGTGGCTTTTATCATTGTGCCTATTTGACAGAAGAGAAATTGGAGTCACGGGGAGGTTACACAACCTGCCCAAGGTCACATAGCCAGGCATATCCACTCTAGGTAGGACTTACATTTCCAAGTATGTAATAAGCAACATCTCCCAGTCTCAATGGATCCGAAGGCAGGTGTTGCTACCCACCCCCATGAGAAGACCCTCAGGTGTCAGGAGGACGTAGCCATCAACTGGCAGAAGTGGAACTAGCAAAAGCAACTTCCAGATTTATGTCCTCAGGAATTTTTCCTGGATATTCAAAAGCAATGGACATAGGATTTGTAAAGATTAAAATTCAAATGTCAAAAGAGAGATATCTAGATAAATGTAAAATATCTAATGTCTAGATAAATGTAAAATAAAGACCAACATTATATTCATCATTATTATTATATGTTATTATTTTGTTTAACTAAGTGCCAAAAAGCATTCTTTTAATAAACCCAGGCACTGGCAAGGGTCTGCTGAATGAAGGTTTTCATRTGTCAGGGTAAAGAGTGGACACAGTTGGAATATTTCAGGGTTGGAGGGGATTACAAAAATGTGCAGATGCTATGTATGACTCAGAAATGACACTTCTTGATACTTATCCTAAAATATCCAGGAATGCATGTAATGATTTAGTTACAACATATTCATTATGGTGTTGTTTATAATGTCAAGAACATCAAAACCAACTTACTGAACCCAAACAAATGTTAATTAAATCATTACTTTTCAAGACCAAATTTTATGCAGCTGTTGAATGTCAGGCTGGGATACTTGAAGGCACAAAATTATCTTTATGGTCCATGAGCAAGGTGGTCATTCCTACCGTATGTGTGATTCATTTCCAAGGGAGGAAGTATACAGTCGGCGACAGAATGGGAACATGAGCACTGGTGATAGGAGCAAGTCTCTCTGGCTGGTGAAACTATACGTGAAYTTACTGTTTCTGCCTTTGCTTCTCTGTGTTTCCTAACTTATCTGGAAAGTGTGGGTAACATCCTTGCAACCAGGAGGTTAAAAAGAGCACAAATTATTTTATAAAGAAAGATAAGGGAAGAAGGTGCCCAGAAGAGGGAACCCRGWCACCCATGGAAATGCTTGGCTAAGGAGATGAATAATGTCAGAACTGATACCCGAGGGGGTCTGAAGTGCTCTGGGCTTCTGTGCCCAGGTGTCCAGAGTGCCTGGGCACACCAGCCACTACTCTGTCATGACTAGGTGTCTAGACTCACCTGGGAGTTGAGGACATGTCAGGTTCATGCAGCCTGGAATCACCTGCACCCCCACACACCTCCACCACCCCACACCCCAACCAAACCAAGAAGAAATAAAACTTCACACCTCCCTCCCTGGCTCAACAGCTCCTTTTACAAAGCACTGATCATATGCTAATATATCTCATGGTACAYCTTTTTTTTTCCACTTTGCATATTGTGTATTAGCTGTCTCTCTGTCCTCKAATGCAAGCTTCAYAAAGGGAGGATCTTTTGTTCACAAGTGCATTCTAAGAACTGAGAACAAGGGTGGCACAGAATACTCAAGAACCCTGTGTTGCGTAAAGGGCTCTAGAAACCCCTGAGAGGTCCAGAAGGCCTCAGGGCTCTGCAGTGTTCTAGAAGATTCCAGAAGAAAGCAGAGCCAAGCCCAGGACAGCCTCCACCCCCTCCTGCAGCACCGAGGGACAGACACTCCTGGGACAGACCACCACTTACATAGGAGGGTAGGAGGTGGTGTTCTTCACAGAGCTCCAGGGCTCTGCCGGCTGCGGTGGAGCAAACCTCAGGGGCCCAAGAGGGGGCTTGGCAAAGGGGAC